CCTCCTGTACATTCCCTAGTGGGGATTGAGACTGTAAGCCAGGCATGTGCCCCGATGTGAATCAAACCCAGGACTCTTCAGTCCGCAGGCTGACAATCCACTGAGCCAAGCCAGCCAGGGAAGATGCCTTGATTTTTTCAGGACAGTAAATATAATAAAACGGATGAAATTTAAGAAATCAGAAATACCTAATTCAAAGTTCAAAAATTTCAGAATATTCCCTCCCAATTAGTATATCTTCCCAAGTGTTAGAATTAAGCTTTCATCACAATTATAAAGCAGTCACAATTCAAGATTTGTTTGAGGCTAAGTAGTGATTGCTCCCTATTAACTTTACCAGAAACCTGGTGCACAAAATTCGTGTGTAGGGGGGGGGCCCTCAGCCCAGCCTGCACTCTCTCCAATCTGGGACCATTCAAGGGATGTCCAACTGCTGGTTTAGGCCTGATCCCGCAGGGAAAAACTGGCATTCGGACACCCTCTCACAACCCGGGACCACTGGCTCCTAATCACTCACCTGCCCGCCTGCCTAACCGCCACTGTGGCTTTGTCTGGAAGGAGGACAGGACAACCAGAAGATGTCTGGTCGACCCAGACTAATTAGCATATTACCCTTTTATTAGTATAGAGATGTTCCCAACTATTTCTGGAGCAGACTTTGATTCAAGGTAAACACTTTTACCTAAGAAATCAAATGTTCTAAATTTATAATTGGAAAGGTTGAGAATTTCTGTCCCCGTAAGATTCTGACTTTACATTTGTGTTCTATCAAGATAACTATACTGACATTTAAAAATCTTACTCAGGCTTTTCCCCCTATGGCTGTTATTTGGCTGTAAACTAGGACTAAATTCCTATGGTACAGCTTTAAAAGCAAAGTCCAATTTGGGACACTTTGATTTATTCCCTGAAAAATTCTTAGGCTCATTACTTCTACTCATTACTGTACCCAATTCCCAGGAATATACAACTCACACAGCTAGAAATGCACTAATCTGGGAAATAGATTATTACAGTATATACCTAGGCATAAAACTCAACGTAAGAGCAAAGCTTTCTAACTCTTATGTAGGAAACTCTAGAGAGTTGAGATAACAGAATCTTTCCATTAAGCCTGCCCTTATTGTCAACAAAATCTAAAATTTTCTCCAAGTATAATGTGGCGTCATATCCATGGATTTCCACTTCCAAGTGTTAATGTCCTTGGGTACTACCCATTGTACCTAGTTAGTACAATTGGTCTCCGTAACCAGCAGAACTTGGCCGAAGTTATTAGCATGTCACTTCTTAAGATAGCTCATACAAAAGCATGGCTTCTGCTCACTTTCTTGAATTACTCTTTCTGGGGAAAGTCAGGTGACAGAAGGTACTAAATCCCTCCAATAGCCAAGAAAATGAATGAGCCATCTTTGAATTGGCTCCCGCAGCCCTTGTCAAGCTTTCAAGATGATATAACCCTGGCTGACAGTTTCATTGCAACCTCAAGCCAGATCCCAGCTGAGCTGTTCCTGGATTCCTGACTCAGAAATTGTGGGTGGTAATATAAGTTTTAAGCCACTAAATTTGGGATAATGTGCTACACAGGGAAAACTAAGACATCAGGCAAAGATCACCTATTGTTTCTTGAATGGAAAAAATAAAATTCAAATTATAACACTTCTGACTAAGATAGTAATCACTGAGTTAATTTTGTTAAAGACAGAATTTTAAATCCATCTTTGATATTCAGTAAGAAAACTTAAAAAGCAACTCCTAACTCATTCAACTACTAAAATTCCTTGCTCACTACTAAAAAAAGAAAAAAAAATTTGAATACATTATATATCACCTGTAGTAAATGCATACCACTAATGGGATCACAGCCTAAAATGTCAGGTGACTTTAACAATTACATTCAAAATATAGCAGCAGAAAGAAGACAACTCCCTGAGACTTTTTCTCACTGAGACTGAACTGCAGATACCCGGCAGTATTTCTAGCAAGTTCTAAAAGGTCTGAATGAGGAAGCTTTTATTAAACTTTGGCTATTTTAGTTAGTTTTCAAAGAAATGTAAAAGTATTTCGAAAATCAAATTGGGAAATAGTAAATAACTGATCTTAAAATTCAACACAAAGTAAGGTGTGTGTGGGTTTTTTGGACATATACAAACATCACAGATTACTACCAGAACATCACATTGTTTATTTCAGATGTAACAGCAATGTTAAAATCAACAAATTTAATTCTTAACTGCACCAAGTAAACTTAGCCATTTAAGTACTTTTAAAGTTATTCCCTCCAAAAAACTGAGGGAGCTTTTCTTTTCCACCCCACATACCATGGTTTCCCAATAGTTCTGTTTTTGGAGGACTTTCAATTGATGAGTAAACTGCTTTGGGGATATTTCAGAACTTCTTTCCCCATATAAAAACTAATCTGGACAAATTACATATTGCATAGATTTCTCTGCAGATTTTTTTCTTTAGAACTCAAATATAATTGCCATCCAGTATAATTTTTATCTATTCATTCCACAGTAAAAACTGTCTGTCCTGAAAAATATGGTGGTTATATCCTGTTATCCAATCATCTAGTTAATAGAATTGGTTTACCTCAATAATAATTATCATATTTCAAAATAACCAACTCAACATGGGGCCTTATTTCAGGCTTTACTGACTCATAAGCATATGAACTAGAACCCAGCTTCTACCTCTTCTATATCCTCCTCCTCCATAAATGGATGGAAATATTTAATACAAGACTGATGTAGAATAATTAAACTTTTACAAACATTTACAATTTAGGTTAAAGATATTGACTAGTGTGGAAAAAGAAACACTATAATGACAGGGAGCCTACACCCTCAATTCAAAATTTATATTTTTTCCTCCTTAAATAACATGTACTGAATTGTCATGAGGCAGCTATTCGGTTTTCAATAACAACATTTAGGGATACATTCATAGGACTGATAGTCCAGGTGAAATGGTTATAGAAATAGAGGCAGTGTCATCTCAGAAAACTCATTTATATATCAAAATCTATTTTGATATCTGGAAGTTTACAAAAAGGCTGAATTCTTCAAACTAATTATGCCTTCTGTAACTCAAGCACTCTTTTCTTGGCAAGAGCAAGCGGAAGCTTATCCATAAGGTAAAGGTGCTTAATGCTAAACTTTTATTCTAAGCTTAGATTTATACTGCTGAAGTAACTGATACCCAAGAAACCAGCATGGTCTTTCTACATTTCTACTATCTTAAGATGAGGAGTCTATAAACTCATTCATCAACTATCTTCCTTTTCTGTATTATTGTTGGCACTCAAGACTGCTGAAGTCTCAAATAAGAACTGAAGATTATAAAGTGTGTATAAACACTGTAAAATAATTTAGTCATTTAACATGTTTGGAGAAATGAGACTTTCATAGCAGAATTTACATAAGAGGATAAATATTATGAAACAATCTTCCTTTTAAAGTCAAATGACAGAATCTTCAAACTCTATCACGATTTTAAAGTCTAATGAGATAATTTGTTGGGTCACCAATATTGGCAAACATAAAAATTTAAATATCGGAGATGGGACTTTGGAGGAAAACAAGAAAATTTCAGATGTCTCTTATCTTAGAAAATTGTCAACCTGTCAAAACCACTCCTTATGCACCAGAAAATGATCTGGCATAAACAAGTTTCTGTCAACAGAGGTCACAGTGACATTTGCATTGGTAACACTTCTGGACTTTACTTTTCCAAGAATAGAAGTAATATGTTTAACAATTCTCCCTCCCCCAAATCCTTAAACTCAATATCATAGGCACAGAATGTAAGCAAATCTGGGATGTTCTCCAACAGATAATAGCACAGTTATGTCATTCTCAAAAATAGTCTAGATATTCTTTCCTACATAGTCAAATGCTCAGTGGCCACACTTTTAACAGCCTGCATTAGCTGACATTAAATGCATTTATTGTGCCACAAGTCCATCTAAGCTTACCTTTAAGTATGTTTTAATATGTCCAACAGACAACACCTACTTCAGGATTCTTTAGGGGTATTGACCTATAAGGACACCAACTCCATTTTTAAGGTTAGACTAACTACTGTGAGTTTACTGAAGGGGACAGAAGGAAAAAAGTCACAACAAACCTCTTTAGGTCAGTATTAAAGGCCATATCTTTAGCTGGGATATTAGAAAAAAAATTTCACCAGCTCACACTCTAAAAAGTTAACGCCACTAATAACAATCAACAGCAGGAAAAATAAACCTTCTACCAACCAACTCATTAGCAAAAAGCAGTTTAACTCAAATACTTGAGACCAAAGTCTAACACTACCTACCCAAACTATCCCACCCACCCTCAGCCACCAATGAGGAAGAAATAATTGCTTAAACACACACACACACACACACACACACACACACACACACACACACACACACAAAATAAGCTTAGTATTTCTTACAAGAATAACAATAGTCCAACTCCTGAGATAGTACTTAGAAGGACAAAAGGTGGAGTTGAAGGCAATGTCTAGGGATTAGTATCCCACAAAAAGTCTTGAAAAACCCAAAGTACCACAAACACACTAAACTTGTCTATGATTAGAGAACAAGATATTGCTACTGCTTCTTTTTTCTTTTGAAATATATAATATTTTGTAGGCTCTGCCCTTCAATGTGAATGCAGGACATTAAAAAAAAGTTAAAAATAAATTGAAATTGATACCCAAATTCTCGGGACCATATATCTTAACTGTGAAATAAACAGATCTATACATCTCCTTCCTACAATCAATCCAGCTCAGAAAAACAAGAAAACAAAAACAACCTAAACATGATTAATTTTGAAAGTCCTTGAAAGTATTAAAACTTTTAGAAGAAAGTGAAGGAAAGAAAGGAGAAAAAGCAAGAACAAGGAGTGGGAAAAGCTTCAAAACAAAGGGGGGTAGGGGGGAATCAATGGGCCTCTCTTTTATTTGGCGACAAGCAAGTGCAAGAAAGTTCATTTGTAATTTGTTCAGTTGTCGGTCTTTTGCGCGTCTGCATTCTGGCCAGAAGGAACTTTGAGGTTTTTTTGCAGCACATGAGCATCTGCAGGCTCTATTCTCTTATAGTAGTTCTTCTTGGTCTCAATAATCTCAAAGCCAAATTTCCTGTAGAAGTCAATTGCTGATTCGTTGCTGATCTGGACATGCCTAAGATATAAGAAGGTATAAAAAAAAAAAAATTATGATTTCATAAGCTTTTACCTGTTCCCCACAGATAGCTTCAAACTGGTTGGAGGAGGAATACCGCTGACATTAGTTACAGTTGGTTGAGATTAGTGATTCAAGGAATAGTGATTATTCTTAAAATCAACAAAGGGCTAGCTATCATAACATTTTCAATTATGAGAGAATATTCAAAGACCATATTAACACACACAGAAAAAAAAAAGATTAAAAAAAAGTAAAATATTAGGTCTCAAATGCCTGAATATATCCTTTGTGATTGATATAAAAACAAGCTATTTTTTGAAAATAATTTGAACTTTCTCAATTACTGCTCAACTAGCATTGTAACTTAATCTCTCCCACTGTTAAAGTAAAAATGAGAATCTTAATAAACAATCCATTATTATGACCTATCCTTGTCTCTTAAGATCTAAGTGTAATATCAGTCAGGTACTCTCTGACTTTTATAATTAAACTCTGCTGCTAATAAGCACATAACAAATAGACTTTAACCAAAACAGAGTGCAAATTGAGGGTTAAAGAAAAGTAATGTTAATAGATTCTTAAATTTAACAATTTAAATTTTAAATTATATCATCCCTGTGACTTTGAAGCTCCCATCCCAATATACTAAAGGAAAACAAGAATGTTTTTCCTCAGGTTTCTTAATCTATTATTAACCACTACGTCCATGGTGTTTCCAAAAGACAATGAAATAAGTGACCAGAATTTAAAATTTCTGTAAAGATTACTATTGCCAATTTATTAAATTCTTTAGGTAATTAAACATAATTGTACTTACAGATAGATGTTGTCAAAGGTGCCATCTTTTTCACAGATGTTTAAGACATGATTTAACATTTTAGTTCCTATTAACGAGACAAATAAGTAATGTCATAAAGATCAATTTTTAAATTACATATAATGATTATGCTAACACTTACTGAGTCCTTACAGAATTTGAAGCAAACACTAGACATCTGATTTTCCAAATATTTGTTCTCTTTCTATACTATGTATGTTTAAAACTGCTAGCTGAAAAGCAACCTTTATATATAAGACATCCAGGTACAATGAAAACAGAAAAAACAAAAGGGACATTGACAACAAATCTATATAGGACTTTCAATTGAATTATGTTAATAAATAAATATTTAAAAAAAATTTTTTTAATTGATTTCAGAGAAGGAAGAGGGAGAGATTGAAACATCATTGATGAGAGAGAATCACTGATCAGCTACCTCCTGCATGCCCCACCCTGAGGACTGAGACCACAACCCGAGCATGTGTTTTGATCGGAATCAAACCTAGGACCCTTTAGTCCACAGGCCGACACTCTATCCACCGAAGCCAAACCAGCTAGGACTAAATATTCTTCACCTTATATAATTCAGTAACCACTTCCCAGTATTCCTTTAAAAAAAAAAAAATGGTTTGACTTACTGGGTCAGGAAGAATTAACAATATGTTTATGTTTCTTTGAAGAAATAATAAAAAATAGTAATTTTACCTATTCCTAGCCTTCGGTATGGTGCCAGACATCCTAGTGTCATGATGTAAAGTCTCTTCTGATTCTGTGAATGATCCACCCTACAGCATACTGCACCGACTGCAATATCATTGAAATAGGCTGCCATGGAAAACATAAAGATATAACTTTCAACAGACAGAATAACACATATTATTATGTTAAGCGAAATAAGGCAGTCAGACAAAGTTAAGTATTACATGATCTCACTCATATGTGGAATCTAATAAACAAAATAAACTGTTGAACAAATAGATGCAGAGACAGAGACACATAGAACCGACTGTAGAACCTCAGAGGGGAGGTGAGGGAGGGTAGGTGGATGGGAAGAGATCAGTCAAAGAACTTGTATGTATATATGCATAACCCATGGACACAGACAATAGGGTGGTGAAAGCCTGGGAAGCAGGAGAAGCTAGAAGTCAATTGGGGGGGAAAAGGGACATATGTAATACTTTCAAAAGTAAAGATTAAAAAAGTCAGTCCCTTAGATTCCCAAGCTCCTCAGAGGGAGGGAGCTAGGTGGTGGGTGGCTGGGTGGCTCACTGGGAATGGCCATTCTGTGTGCACAGGCTGTGGCTTGAGGCACTCTGCCTAAGGGCATTCTACACTAAGAGGACACACATCTTCTGGACTTATTTCTGGAGAGCTGCATTTGTGAACAGCTGGCAATAGTTTCTAACTCCCATATCTTCATTTTCCTTTGTGTTGCATTTCAGAACATCCAGAAACCATGAACATGAACATTAGTAAATTAAGAGTTTGATTGGACATTCTGGACCAAAAAATTAATGAAGTCTCTTCTTCCGATGATAAGGATGCCTTGTATGCTGCAGACCTGGGAAATATTCTAAAGAAACTTCTGAAATGGTTTTCTGGGGTCATGATAGTAGAATTGCAATGACGATAGAACAATAGTGAAGACCCTTAGCTGCCATTCGGACAGGATTTGACTGTGCCAGTAAAATTGAAATACAATTGATGCAGAGTTTTGGGGTACCTCCACAGGATTACCTATGCAAATTCTTATAAACAAGTGTCTCAGATTAAATATGCTGCCAATAAAGGAGTCCAGATGACCTCTTTCCATAGAAGTTCAAGTTGATGGAAGTTGCTAGGGCACATCTAAAAGCAAAGTGGGTTTTGTGGATTGCTACTAATGATTCCAAAGCTGTCAGTCACCTCAAGTGTTAAATTTGATGCCCCACTCAAAACCAACAGCAGGTTTCTTTTGGAACAAAGGAGCTAAATATTGATGCCATCACATGGAAGTGGCTGTATTAACCTTAGACCTTCATGCTGGCCATCTCTGATGCCCGCTATTGTCTTTGACATGGGAGCTAAGGTTGGCTTCAATATGTATCTGCTGGATATTGGTGGTGGCTTCCCTGGACCTGAGGATGCGAAGCTTAAATTTGATCATCAGTGTAATCAACCCAGCTCTGGACAAGTATTTTCCATCAGACTTGGGAGTGATACTCACAGCTGAGCCAGGCAGATACTATGTTGCATCAGCTTTCACAGTTGAAGTTAACATCATTGCCAAAAAACTGGTATTAAAGGAACAAACAGACTCTGATGATGAAGAGGAGTCGGGTGAAAAAACCTTTATATATTATGTGAATAATGGAGTGTATGGATCATTTAATTGCATCCTCTATTATTATGTGCACATGAAGTCCCTTCTGCAGAAGAGGCCCAACCAGATGAGAAGTATTATTCATCCAGCATCTGGGGGCCAGCATGTGACAGTCCCCCAGCCTAAGTGGGGGACTGGATCCTCTTTGAAAACATGGGTGCTTACACCGTTGCTGCTGCTTCTACTTTCAATGGATTCCAGAGGACGACTATTTACTATGTGCTGTTAGGGCCGACATGGCAACTGATGCACCAAGTCCAGAACCACGACTTCCCACTCTAAGTGGAAGAGCAGGACGCCAGTGCTCTCTCTGCCTGTGTCTTGTGTCTGGGAGAGTGGGATGAAACGCCTCTCAGCAGCCTACACTTCAATCATTCTTGTAGCTGTTATGGGGGTGTAGCTTGACTTAAGGGATTTGGGGGGACCATTAACTTAATTATTGCTAGTTTTGAAATGTCTTTGTAAGTGGAATTGGCACAGATGGAATAATGTGAAAGGTCTAGGCGTCGGGGTCACAGTTACCTGTGTTCCAATGTTAACTATTTAAATATTTTTTTAATGGATTTTCATTCAATTTTCAAACATGCTACTAGAGAATGGCCCTCAGCTGCCAGGCAAGCATTTGTAGCTTATACACTGGCACACAGGCCAGAGGATTAGTGTTGTGACCTGTTTTAACAATGAAGTACCTTGAAAATTAAGCATTGGGAAATTTTCCATGTGTCCATTCCACAATGGCTTGCCTTGCATGTGGTTTTAAAAGTAGGAATCCATGTTTCCATTTCCCCCAAAGCTAAAAAATTGTCCCAGAGTTGGTGATTTTTGTTATTTTGAAACTCCATGCACATGCTTTTTCTTGGTGGGCATTTTTGTTTTAAGTACACGAGTACTGCATAAAGTTTGCTGTGGATTCTTGAAAGTAGTAGTAGATTTAGCTCCATGCAGGTAAAAGGAACAGGATGGATCAGAAAGGTCATACTCTCTGATGATGACTGTGGCCAACGTCTGCCATAGTGGCTCAGTCTCCCCGCCATCCCCTTACCCCAAATGTCCACAGGTGGCTGTAACTAGAATGCCCAGAGCCCCATGTTAACTAACTGGCCTGGTCCCATCAGAGCCAGTGCCCCGGGAAGGTGCACAAGGCCCTTGGAACCCTGCCCACAGAGACAAGGAACGTTCCCTTTCCCACTTGGACCTCAGGGCAGGTTGCATAGTTAAATGTCAGGAAAGTAGTACAGTATTTGGCAGTCGTCTTACTTTAAGAAATTCAGCAACAATTTAAAAACAACACCATTTATGAGGACTAAACTGTTGCTATCAGCTTTTAGTTTTATCACCTACTTTGAATTTCAATAGCTTCAAAAACCTTCTATACCATCTTAGAAATTTAAAGCAAAATATGGGAAATCACACAGGCACACACTAAATAAAAGATGTAGCATTTCCTTTTAAATTTCAAATATTCTGCCTTGATTTCTCTGAGATTTTTCCCAGAATCTGGAGCACTCCCATTTCTTCACTTGTAAAATAAAGAGATTAAACCTTCCTACTCTACTATTAAAAACTAAGGGTCGAGAACATGAATAAACAAATGAAGAAAAAAAAACATATTATACCAAGTTTTGCTAGCTCGCCAACCTCCAGCACATCCTTGTAGAACTTGTCATTATAGCTGACTGGAAAGATGACCTGGTTTAATCTCTTCAGCTGCTTAATATTGTGTGGTGTCACATCTCCCAGTTCGATCCGGCTACTGGAACAAACCAAAATGTACTCAATAAAATGTAATTTGCTACATTTGGTAAAATGAACATATTAAAAGGTACCAAATCTTTTTTTTACATGATTAAAAATTTAATCTTTTTACAGTAACTTTTTATTTCTATGAAGATAGTACTATTTATAAGCAAATTTTGCCAGTCATTACATCAAGATTCAATTCAGTTTTTACACACTTGTATACATTTAGAGACAAATACAGTAAACAACCAATATTAAAAAGTTCAGAATAACATGCTATATAAATGTCAAAGTTTTCCTTGTCTCTGGTTCAGAAAATATAAACATCTCTTACTGATCAAAAAGAATGATGACACCTAATACTGGCAGGGTGGTAAGCAGCAAATGGGATTCCTATACTTGGCTGCTGGGACTGTCAGTGGCTATGTCTTTGGAAGACAATCTAGCACGTATACAAAAAAACTAAAAAGGCATCTCCTTTCTTCAAGTAATTCCACTCTAGAAATTTATTCTAAGACTATAATCCAAAGTATAGTAACATATTGCCAAAAACAAAATATTTTTAATAGCTCAAGTCAATTTTACTACCATAAAGGTTGATCAAATGTGACAAGACAAACCTGAACAGCATCTACATAATTTTTCTTCCTGCTATCACTAGCAATATCATTAGTAGAGTTGCTTATATACATTGTCTTCTTAAAATTTTTAACAGGTGATAAATCTCAGACATATGCCAAAAGAACTTCTTCACTGATACTGCCCTTAGGGCAATGGAAGTTAAAGTGAAAATAAACAAATGGGACTACATCAAAATAAAAAGCTTTTTACAGCAAAAGAAACCATGAACAAAACAACAAGAAAGCCCACTGTGTGGGAGAACATATTTGCAAATGTTATCACTGATAAAGGTTTTATCTCCAACATCTACAGACAGCTTAAACAACTAAATAAAAGGAAGATGAATGATCCAATTAAAAATGGGCAATGGAACTAAATAGAATATTTTCAAAAGAAGACAGAAGGAAGGCCAAAAGGCACATGAAAACATGCTCAAAGTCACTAATTATCCGAGAGATGCAAGTCAAAACAACAATGCAGTACCATCTAACACCTGTCAGAATAGCCAACATCAACAAATCAACAAACGACAAGTGTTGGTGAGGTTGCGGAGAAAAAGGAACCCTCGTGCACTGCTGGTGGAAATACAGGCTGGTGCAACTGCTGTGGAGAACAGTATGGAGTTTCCTCAAAAAACTGAAAATGGAACTCCCATTTGACCCAGTAATCCCACTCCTAGGAATATATCCCAAGAAACTAGAAACACCAATCAGAAAGGATATATGCACCCCTATGTTCATAGCAGCACAAGCTACAATAGCTAGAATTTGGAAACAGCCTAGGTGCCCGTCAGCAGATGATTGGATCAAAAACTATGGTACATCTACACAATGGAATACTATGCTTCCATAAAAAAGAAGGAATTCTCATCATTTGCAGCAACCTGGATAGAATTAGAGAAAATCATGCCGAGTGAAATAAGCCAGTCAATGAAAGAGAAATACCACATGACCTCACTCATTTATGGATATTAAAGAACATTATAAACTAATGAACCAAAAGACATATAAAGACAGTAAAGCAACAAGCAGACTGTCAAATTACAGCCGGGAGGGTAGGAAGATCTGGGAGAGATAACAGATCAACCGAAGGACTTATATACATGCATATGAGTACAACCAATGGACACAAAACTCTCGGGAGGTAGGGTATGTATGGGGAGGGGGGGCAATGTTAAAATATGTATACAGATAATAACTTAATAAAAAAAATTAAAAAAAACATTCAAAGAAAATATCAAATAAAAGTGAGTTAAAAAATAAAACAATCTGATACCAACCAAGCAGCTAGAAAACTATGTAAGTCCTACCCACTCTTTCAAGTGCTAGTTCTATATCACAATGGCATTGGTCAACAGCAGGAAATACAAACAATACATACTAATTCAGCAGTCGCAACCTTTCGAAACTCAGGGATACCAGTGGTCCGTGGATCACCAGTTGGCAACAGCTACCCTAAATAATCATTTGCAATACAGGCACATAGGTTTTTAAAACTCTACTGGAGAAGTGGCTAAACAAAAATATTGCTCACCACACTTTTATAACAGCAAACAAAACTAAACAAAATAAAAAACTGAGTGTCCATCAAAAGGGAACTGGCTAAATAAAGCATGAACATTATATATTAGCACAGAAAGACAGTGTTGATATATTGTTTTATAGGGTGAAAAGCATATTCCAACTACATATACATATACATATATATATATATGTATACTAGAGGTTTGATGCACGAAATTCGTGCAAGAGTAGGCCTTCCTTCCACTGGCTGCTGACACCAGCTTCCCTCCAGTACCTGGCTTCCCTCACAGCCCTGGCTTTGTCCAGAAGGTCGTCTGGTCTAATTAACATATTATGCTTTTATTTTTATAGCTATAATATATACAAAAATATTAATATATACAAAAAAAATGTTTAAAGCATATTTCAAAAGACCCTGGCCGGATAGTTAAGTAGGTTACTGAGCATCAAGGTTACAGGTTGGATCTCCAGTCAGGACACAAACAAGAAGCAACCATTGAAGATATAACAATCAAGTGGAACAATGAATAGAGGTTTCTCACTTCCTAATATCAATCAATGAATAAAAAAATTTAAAAGCATATTCTAAAAAACATGGTCAAAATTGTAGGTAATTTTTAACACAACATCCTCTGAAATATTAAAATTTAGATAATTAGTGTCGGGGAGGACCCAAGATGGCTGCTCAGGTAGACATCTAACCGCAGCAGCACACAACAATTTCAATGGAATACAACTAAAATGTAGAGAGGACATTGCCCAGAGCTACAGGTAGTCGACTGACTGAAAATTCTACAACAAGAAGGAAAGAGAAAAGCAGAAGGAAAATCAAAGGAGCTGAAAAAAAGCCTAAGATACGGAGACATGCTGCGCGCCCGTCCGCACGCGCGCCCGTCCGCACGCGCACACGGAGGGGTCGCAGCCGGAGAGGAGGAGAAGGCTTGGTGCTGCCTGGCGTTCCCTAGCAGGAAGGAAATAAAACCCCCAGCCAGGGCTGAACCCCCGAACCGCCAGCGCTGAGCCCCAGTTATGGGCCAGACCCTGGGGACCCAGGCTCCGGCAGGGGGAAACAGGGCTGTGAGGCAGAATCCCAGGGGAGCAGCGAAAGGAAGGGCCCCCGGAGTCGCGCGCACATTGCGCGCAGAGGATTGAATGTTGACTCTAATGCTGGATTACCCTAGCCGGAAGAAACAAAGCCTCTGGCGGCGCTGAGCCTCAGTCCGGACTGCTCCGAACCCCAGTTCTAGTCTAGGCCAATCCATGGGGACCCAAGCTCAAGCAGAGGGAGACGGGGCTGTGAGGTGGAGTCCTGGGAGAGCGGCGAAAGGCCGAGCCCCCGGAGTTGCGCACATTGCTTGCAAGGGAAGGAATGTTGATTCTGATGCAGGATTGCCCTGGAGGGAAGAAAACAGGAGCCCCGGCCGTGTTGGGCCCCAGTATCGACTGCTCTGAACCCCAGTCCTAGGCCAGACCCTGGGGACCCAGGCTCAGGCAGGGGGAGACGGGGCTGTGAGGCGAAATCCCAGGAGAGCGGCGAAAAGCGGAGCTCCCAGAGTCGCGCACACTGAGCGCAGAGGACAGTCTGTTGACTCTGATGCTAGACTCCCCTAGCGGGAAGGAGAAAAAAAGCTCCAGACTAGAGGAACGCGACGAGGAGGAGCCCCTGCCGGACACCGGCCAGCCGGGCAACAGCAAGGAGCCGGGAGACGGGGCCCCCCGGGGGGGAGAGGGGGTGCCCCTGAGCCTTCGACCGCTGAGCACGGGCAAAGGAGCCAAGGCTGGGGGCTACTTCCTGGGCGGCGCCGACCCTGGCAACAGTCTGAAGCAGTGCAGGAGCCCGCGGAGAACAAAGGGGTGCCACAGGCCAACCTGCTGAGCTCCCAGGACAAGGAGGAAGAATCCAAAGAAGTTCTCAATGTGAAGAAATCAAGTGAGAGCAAAAGATAGTAAATTACTTAAGAAAGAATACAAAGAAGATCTTGAAAAATCAAAGACTAAGTCAGAACTCAACTCACCAGCCAACATTGCAACATAAATGCGTTAAAAAAAAAAAAAAAAAAAAAAAAAAAGGACAGAATGTTGGAACAGCGGCAGCCAGGCCTAGAGTTACCAGGCACAAGGCAGTGGCAGCCGGGCCCGGAGCAGCAGCAGCCAGCACTGGGGCAGTGGCAGCCAGGCCTGAGGCGGAGGCAGCCAAGCCCAGGAACACCCAGACCCGGAGTGGCCAGGCCCGGAGAAGCCGGGCCCAGAGCAGCCGGGTTGGGAGCAGCCAGACCCAGAACAGCAGTATCCAAGCCCGGAGCATCCAGGCCGGGGGCGGCCAGGCCCAGGGCAGCTGGGTCGGGTGCGGCCAGATCCGGAGCAGCAGCTGCCAGGCTGGGAGTGGACAGGCCCGAAGCAGCCGGGTCTGGTGTGGCCAGGCCCGGAGCAGCGGCTGCCAGGCTGGGAGCGGCCAGTCCCGGAGGAGCAGGCAGGTCGGGTGCGGCCAGGCCTGGAGCAGCGGCTGCCAGGCTGGGAGCGGCCAGGCCTGGGGGAGCAGGCGGGGCTGGTGCGGCCAGGCCCGGAGCAGCAGCAGTCAAGTCCAGAGCAACTAGGTCGGGAGCGGCAGTGACCAGACCCAGAGCAGCTGGTTGTGAATGAACCAGAGCAACAGAGGCCAGGCCCTGAGCAGCCAGGCCCAGAACAGCTCGCTCCTTGCCTGCCCCTGCCCCACGGCTGCTTCTCAGACATGGCTGGAAACTTTCGTGGGAACTTGAGGGTCTGCTGAATCAAGTGATGAAGGCTTAGATCTGGATGTGTTGAGTTAGTATAGGGCTGGGGTGTTGATCTGTGAGTGCCTTGGGTGGGGCCTGGATGAGGCTAGTTGACC